GGTAGTCATGCAACTTCCTGAGAAGATTGGAGTTTTAATTCTAAAAATTGTGTTGCTACTCTGAAAATACCCAGCATATTTGAATTTTTGAATGATTTGTTTGTTATATTTTAAATGCAATTTTTCAAGAGAAAGGAACTAGCACTGATGGATAGTCCAGTATATAGGAATTATTGGCTGACTCATCCAGCATTAGATTACTTCAGTTTTTGCTCTTGATATTAAGGTGCAAAAGTTATCATCTGAAGAGCTAAACAGGCAAAGTGAAGTTAAAAGTGAATCCTTGCAGCTCTCCATTATCTATTTAAGTAATCCAGAAAGGCTCACTGGATTCCTTGCCAGATCCTCAATATGCTCATAATAGAAGTGTATCAGTTGTACACTTAACTATATTGTGCATATCACATTCAATATTCCCTCATCTGAATATAAATCTCTGGATTTCAGGATATTATTATTAACTAACCCTGTTTTCTTAGTTTTGCAGTTCATAGTGACTGATGTTTAGAGAATATGAATGTGAGGAGCTGGAACTAGTGGAACAGAGTGATCCTCTGATGAATCCTGCTCCAAGAGGATAATATGGTTTCTTTGGTTATGGTTCATGTTGACATTCTGGAAATGATATGAGGAGTAATTGTGTAAAATGGGTAAAGGAATAAATCTCTTGCGTTTGAGAATTTTTTGGTTGGAATGTATTACTTGCGAATCTCTACAAGGGAAGGAGTCACTGCAAAAGCCACAGAGGAAAAACGTTGACAAATCTACGTATATTCTACGTAGATGATATTTCCATTTCCACGTCGAGTCCACGTATACTCTCGACGTTTACTCAACGTTTCCAAATCTACGTTTATTCTACGTAGATGATATTCCCATTTCCACGTCGAGTCTACGTGTACTCTCGACGTTTACTCAACGTCTATTCAACGTTGCTGTGCCACACGGGATAACACCCTATTTTCTCACTATGTACAACGTTTTTCACTTCAATTTCATAGTTGCACGCTATTACATAAAGGACACAATTCAGCTCAATCATATGTAACTATATACAGTCAACTCCGCATTATGGAATACCGCTTAATAGAATACTCCGCTTAATGGAATACAATTGCACGGTCCCGATTTTTCGTCCATGGGACGCATTATAAAAAAACATCGCATAAAGGAATACGGTTAATGGAATAACTCGCTTAAAGGAATAAAACTTTTCTGGATTGTGAAATATATATATGATATTTCATATTTTGAGAAACAAATGCTTATTTTTCCTACTGTGCATTCTTAGAAGTTCCCCACTAGCCCTCTCCCCAGTCCCACCCTCTCCTTTTGTGGAACCACTCTTTCCTGAATTGGGGTATAAATATAAGCTGCAGATGTGGAGACGAGGCCTACCGTTTTCAGGTGAAAGTGGAAGCAAGTTCACCTGGGCAATAAATCGAGGCTGTAGTCAACAGATCTGTTCATTCAGAGTTGACCATGGGGAGAAGGAAGGACCTCAGCTTGACTGAAAAGATTGCAGTTCTGAATCCCCATCAAGACGAAAAGAAGACGCAAACTGAATTGGCTCGGCAGTTTGGGATTTCTCATCTGCAAGTTTTGTAGATCATCAGAGATAAGGAAGCATTGGAAGTGAACAATGAAGAAAAAGTAAAAGAAGATAAATCCTATTCAGGGATAATGCCACCTGTCACGGGAGCGCTGCAAGCCTCAAGCTGAGCTGCGTAAATTTTGAATTTCTGCCCGCCTACATAACTTCGTTAATTCAACCTATGGTTGCAGGCGTCATCAAGAACTTCAAGTGCTACTACCGTAGGAAGATCCTGCAGAAGATCTGGAGCAGCCTTGAGGAAGATGAAACAATGTCTGCAAAGGACATGGCAAAATCTGTCAGTTTGCTTGATGCAATTCACATGTTGAAAAGTGCAAGGTATCAAGTGAAGCCAACAACTGTGGCCGAACTGTATCAATAAATAAAAACTGATGAAGTAGGAAGAAGAAGTTCAATATGATAGTTTCGGATATTGGAATACTCCGGATAATGAAGTTCACTGGTCCCGTGACTATTCCACTAAGCGGAGTCGACTGTATATATCTATAACTATAAATTTAATAAAACACATGTAAAAAAAAAATTCTCTTTCGAGTCAAAATTTGTGCAATAGAGGGTTAATCCAGCCCTGCTTGTTCCAATCGTTTCTTCTGTCTTTCTCTCACCCGGAACATGTCCTTCCATTTTCCACTGGACATCTTCCATGGAGACATTTCCGTGTTCCGGACGCCTTTCCTTTTGGGAGTCCCAGGCCAGATTAAGTAATCCTGCCCCTTGCGCAGGCTTTTCTAACGCTTCCTCATCGACTTCCTCTGGTACTTCTATCGCGCCGTATAGAGGGGATGCAGGCGTTTCACTTTGCTGCCGAGGGAGAGGAATGGGATTATGCATACTACTGTACTTGTGCCTGCCAATTTATGATACAGGTTCCTCATCGCCTTCCAAACTCCATCCATGGACTCTGGACGTGTTCCCATTCCATGGAAATATTCCACATGCACTGAAGCCGTTCTGTATGCAGAATGTACTTATGCTACCCATGGTGACTTGTGAAGCGTAAAGTAAATGCTTAACTGAAAAGGTTTTCATGGAAAGGCATTCTGAGGTAGTTTATAACACCAGAACTTATTCTTCCTTTTATTTTCTGTGCTTGAACTCGCACGTTTAATCTTTCAATTCGGGTCACAGGGATTCATTAGACTGTCCAGAAACCATTATCGAATTATTATCGAACCATTAATGAAGCTGGGTTGTTAGTCTGTTTGGTTCCTCACCATTATTCAGTCGAAACTCGGTTATTTCAGAATTCTGACTCTTCTGATTCCCTTTTCTTT